TATGTAAAAAAGGCGCTGGCAGTTGAAAAAATAAGTCAGGTGTGAACACGGCCTGAGGCCAGTCGTTTTTCGTCGGGGTGTGTATCTTTTTAATCTGACATACCTTTGTATGTAAGGAACACATATATTGCAGCTGCAGTATTTGTGTTCTTACATACAGAGTTTGAAAATGTATTCCTGTGTGCGCCTCTAGACTGGTATTCAGACCCTGGGCTCCAGCTGTCCTCGTCTTCTGATATTTGTCCACCTTCAACACTTTATTTACTGTAACGAGGGTTAAATACAACTACATTTTCCCCTGACTTTGATCAGATATGTTGGTAGCTATGACACACCAAATGTTTTCTTAATGTGGTTTCCTGTTAACGTTAAAGATAATACTGATATTTGTAAGAGCATTTTTTTTCCAATAACTGTTTGAGTGAAGTTTAATAAACTTCCTTTTTGTTTCTGTGTTCACTTGAAATTTGTGAAATATGAAAAGTTCTACATCAATGATTTTTTAAATAATTTACTCATGTGGACCCTGACCCCACTGAACTGTTAATAAGTGCATAATAAAGTATTTAATAATCTTTATAAGGCATTAATATGAACCCAATAAAGTCTTATTCATGTCAATAGCACCTCTATTAACACTTATATGAACGTATTTGTGTTAATAAGAATCTAATAAGGTCTTATAAGTGACTTATTACCTATTAATTGCAGCTTATTACAAGCACCTTAATATAAAGTGTTAGCAAAAATGGCTAATAATAATAATAATAATAATAATAATAATAATAATAGGAAAATGCTACAATACTCAAGTTGCAATTTGCCAAAACCTCAAATTCTGTCCCTCTTCTAAATACTAACCAGAGTGAAGCAGAGCATTCAGTGGAGACGCTTCTTTTTAGGTATTGTGTTATAATAAGCGTGACAATTGTATAACTCAAGAGTCTTCAGTGTTTCTAGGCTTACCTGGAAGTAATGGTGATATTTGCCTGGGAGTTTTCCTCCAGTGTAATCGCAGTAGGAGTGAAGACATACAGTGTGGACTCTGGAGGGGGGACAGAGAAATCAAAACAAACCAGAAAGGCTGGCATCATTAATCAGCGATTTCAATTCATGATGAGGATATCATAAAGCTTGTTTTAGTTAAATTAAATACAAGTGGACAGCAGTTACCTTTTGTGTATGGTAGTAACTGTTTTGTTTGAATCAACATTTTGTTTTTCAAAGAAGGACAGTCTGTGTCCTTGGCTATGTTTACAATATGTTTACATGCACAATTAAGTTGAGCTACAGGTATAGCTCCATTAGGTCATTCTGACCTAAAGAGGACTGTCTTTGTCCCAGTATAAAAAGCACTGGTGGAGAAACTTAATGATAGAAATATTCTACTCAATTGGCGATATGCCCCCCTTACAGCTAGTTACTATTGGACATTCTTAAGGTTGATCTATTACCGCACATACCTAGCGATCAAAAAACAAGTTAGCAAGTGGTAAACTGTTTTCATTCCATCTGTGTACTGTAATATATTTTCCTCCCTCAGCTTACAAAATATAAACTCTGTCCCATGGTCTGTCCAAAAGTGCCTGGTTCTCTCTAGCACTCGCCATGCTGATACCTTTGTCTTGTTTAATTCCCAGCTTTACTCAACCAATGTATGCTGTGACGTCTGAATCAATGAACAGCGAAGCTTAGCTAGAACGCCCTGGTCAGTTTGAGGTGGTTTGTGTTTACACCCAAGAGTATACTGACAGATTTAGCCAGACTTCGAGAAATTTGGCTTTGTTTAAATTCTCATTTCATGCAAGTTGTGCCAGTAATGGGAATCAAATCTTTCAGGTGATGCTAAACATGAAATCATTTATTAGCCAACACTAAGCCTTTAATTTTTCCATAATGTTAACTGCTATCTGGATTGTTTAATGCTGATATAATATGGGATTAAGTGCATTTGACCTCAGTGACAGCCATCTTCAAATTGCCTCAATATCACATGCCAAACATATTCTACATAGATAGTTAGTTACTTTATTGATCCCGAGGAAGATTCAAAATCATATGTTATCAACACTTTTCCATCAACCCATTCCTTAAAAAAGGTAACAAACTCACCTGTAACTGAACAGATCTAACATTTATAAAACCTTTACATCTTGTTTTATCATTTGGGGGTGAAACTAATTATCAGGTTAACAGCAATGCTTAAATTAACAAATCAAACCAACTGTTTTGACCACGTCAACTCAGAGGAGCTGATGAATCAGGGTCAAAAGGAATAGCAGTCAATTCACCAGAGATGTTGGTCAGCATCCACAGGAGCATCAGGTAAGCTGGCAGACATCTCGTTATCATAATCAGACCTGACATCTCCGCACACTGATGGATACTGTACACCTGAAGGACACAGGGAAAACACAGAATCTTAGCATTTAGCCTTACTAGGTGGTTTCTGCACAAATGTTGTGCAAAAACAGTTCTTAATTTGAGAGGATGCAATTTAATGTGGGGAATCACACCTAGCACTTGGGTTGCGCCCTGTGTACAGCGGCTATAATCCTCCAAGCTGCAGCCCAGGTTCAAGTCTGACCTGTGGCTCTGTTCCCACGTGTCAGTCCTCACTCTCTTTTCCTGATTTCTTACTCTATCCACCAACTAAATAAAGGCATTAAAGCTAACAATGTTACATAAATATAGGAATAGCCAAAATGCATTGCTATTAAAAAGTGTTTGGTTAAGACAGTGTGCATGTGTGTGCACACGGTAAGAAAGGTACCATCTCAGTGCCATTTTCAGCCAGGGAAGACCCTGCCTTTAATTGATTAGCCAGGAAAATTGGCGAGTTTTGGTTCTGCATTAAAAAACAAAAAAGTGGCAGCATGACATATTTCAAGTCACATGATTGACATTGCACGTCCTATGTTGTGCCTATTGCATCACAACCGCGAGTACAAAACAATATATCGTGGAGCCCTACCACTAAGTAGGTATTTTCTAGAGCCTGACTGATTAATCCGCCAGCCGATAATATCGGTCGATATTAGCATATAAAGTGACTATTAGTATAGGATCTCTCTCAGGCTCTCACCAGCAGAGGGCGCTGTATGCATTAGAACAAGCATCATCACTACCCAGAGTGTCAAGTGGTGACGCACGTACATGCGCAGTTACTTTCCAGCTGAGTGACCATCTTGTCTACTAGAGCAGTGCACTTTCACTGGTCTCACAATTCGATTACGATTATCCAGCCAACGATTCGATTTGATTCGATATCACGATGCATCAGAATTCATCCTCAATTTTCTATATTACTGCAAATGGCTAGTTTTTCATAAACAAAGACAAGCAGTCATATAACTATGAACACCTTTTGTATAATTTAGTCCTTTGTAAAGAGCCTGTGATGAGATGGGAATAAAAAAGTGTCTGACATGAGGAGAAACAATGAAATATAAAGCATAACTTCTATAAAATTAATATAATGGAGTACCTAACTTGTTTTTTGATTCACTGTCAAACAAATAGTCTGTTAATATGAAGTGTTCAAATGAAAAGATTATACGGTAATCGTTTCCTTCATAATCGTTTTCTTTTCATGATCAGTCACACTGTTTGCCCTTTTTAATTTATTACGATGAGAATGACAGTCTGATGCAGAGGGAGTCTATCTGTTAGAAACACGTTTTACATTTAAAGTTATTTACATTAATAAAGTTTCATAATAAGATTGATCATTTATGAGCTTCGTTTTTGGAAAATATCAAGTTTTTTTTCTTTCGAATTTAGAACCTAATAAATAATGTTAAGTATTCCTAGTGTTCTTATTCCTGTGTAGGTTATATTGTTAATTAATTTGAATCCTCGAGACTTGTTATTAATAAAACTTTTTAATAACAGCAGCTCATACAGATTTTAGAATATTTCAAACTTAAACAGCCAACAAACCTCACACTGAAAATGCACACACACTTGTCCTATGATCAGCTTAAAGTTTATAATAAAAAGAGCAAGGTGACGACACGGACGGGCAGACATTGCACTCATGTCACGCCGGAGGAGTTTGGACAGCATCACGTTTGTTAACAGACAAAACAGCCATTGATCCCTCGGCAAAATCTCAGACAGTAATGCATCAATTGAGCTCTCTTGACGTTTACAAAACGTACATGAACTGACCGCGATCTGACCTCTCGCTATCTCTTTAAAAAAAAAAAAAGGCATACAAGCAGGGAACAAGAGATCTCCTGTTGTATGCAAAAATAAAATAAAAATTCAGAACAGATAACAGTAAATATTGCTCCAATAGTTGCCTGCAGCCGATGTGATGTGCTTTCTCTTGATTTTGTTGCGTAGTTATATCTCCCGACAGTAGGCTCACGTGTTGTGATACAGGACGAAGGGAAACTTTTTAAAACAGTACAGGTTATTGTTGTGTCGCAAGCAACCCCCGAAATATCAGTTAGGAAAAATAAAAAGCTTTACTCTCATTAATTCATTTTTAAAGATACAGCATTCACACTATTGTTATCCAATTCTTTATGATTATTATTATTCCTCTACTTCTGTACATTTTTTGGCCCTCTTCTACTCTTAAAACGTTTGTGCTACTTCCATCATTCAACTATCATACTATTATTATTATTATTATATTAGAAATATTATATTATAATAGACATATTATATTATTACATTATATTAGACATTATATTATATTATTATATTATACATATTATACAAATTATATTATATTAGACATATTATATTATTTTATTATATTAGACATATTATATTATTTTATTATAATAGACATATTATATTATTATTATTATATTAGACATATATTATTTTATTATTATTATATTAGACATATTATATTATTTTATTATATTAGACATATTATATTATAATTATTATATTATATTAGACATATTATATTATTTTATTATTATTATATTAGACATATATTATTATATTATATTAGACATATTATATTATTTTATTATTATTATATTATGTTAGACATATTATTATTATTATAATACTAATCATACTATTCAGCTTCTTCATGACATTAGAACTGCTTCCACATTTTTTCAATGGGTGTGTGTGTGGTGGAATGTTCGGGCCAAGAGTGCGTGACATCATCGCTGGAGTGGGACAGAGTTCTGAGATTGTTTCAAAATCTCCCGAACAAATTGCTCTACTGCCCACAATGTTCACTCCACACAAATAAATTTACCCTCAAAATGTAGGAAAACTTGTCCTCTCTCACACATTGAGTTTTCAGGACAAACGGAGCAAAGGTTTTTACACTGTGAGCTTCAAAGCGGCAGGTGGTCCAGATAACTCTCCATCTGGGGTCATGGTAAACTTCCCAAAAACTTCCCTGACCAAACCTCTTGGGACTAACTTTTTAAATCGCTGTGGTTTCCACATTTCTTGGATCCCAGACATAAAAATCACATCAACGCGTTCGGCCATTTGTCCTCTTGCTCACAAAATCAACATTTAGCCACCAACTCTTAATTTAAGCCCTTTGAAATGAGCACTCGTTTTCCCCTTTTTTTCATTGTCTGACTGCATTTAAGCAGTATCTTCTACTTGTACTACTGCTGCTTCTTCATCTTCTACTAATACTTCTTCTTCTATTACTTCTTCTTTAACTTCTTGTTCTTCTGCTTTTACTGCTTTTCTTTTTCTACTTCTTGTTCTCCTGCTTTTACTACTTTTTCATCTTCTACTACTACTCTTTTACTTTTTCCTCTTCTTCTACATCTACTTTTTCTTCATCTTCTACTATTCCTTCAGCTGTTTCTGCTGATTCTTCTTCATTCAGCAGTGTTTTGCAAAACATTTCAGCGGTCAGCATTCCCACACATTTTCCACAGGTAAATGCAAATTGTCTAGTTTTTTTTTTTACTCTCTGTCTGTCCGTCCTAGTCTCGCGCTCTCTCTCTCAGGCAAGTGCGATAGTCAATGAAACTGTGCTGACCCCTTCAAACAAAAACACAAACCCAGAAAAACTAGGCCTAAATAATAAGATCACGTCTGACCATGTGTCACAGAAAATGAATCACAACTTGATAATGTTTTTATTCTGTTTTCTATTCTTGCAAGTGCATAAACAAAACAAAAATAATGTCATACTAAATTATATAAAACGAAATGGCTCATCTCAGGGGGCTATCCAATAATTTACAATATAGGCTACCTGTATAGGCCAATGAAACTTTGCAGGGCTGAAATCTAGTACAAACAACTTGTCCAGTCCATATGTTTATAAATGTATTCAATGAATGTAATCATTACAAGACACAAAAAGGACAAAAGGAATAGATAAGAATCATACAGTTGTGCAGAAAAGACACAAACTGGTGAATAAAAAACTGACTTGAGTGCAGGAAAAGAAAAGTAAGCTGCTCAACATTATCTGGGAGAGATCCCCCTTATCATGATGCCAACTATTAAACACACATTTGTAATGGTATACTCTGCTCGGTCATGGTTTGGGCCGCACATGATCCATGGATCATTCACTTTACAAAGAGGAAGTAAATGTGTGTGAGTTTGTGTCACTCGGGTGTTTAGCTTGGGTTGTATTTGAAGGCATCATTTGGGAATGAATCTGCCTGACCCTTTATGCCTTCAATATTAAGAGAAAACATTTTGGACCTCACTCTTTCCTAAACCCTGGTTACAGCCCTGCAATAAGTAGTTACAATGTCTCCAGAGGAGAGTGTATTCAGAGTATTGATCCATAACTTGTTAAGCTCCGACATCCATCACCTTAGACGACTTTTCTTTCATTTCAATGTTTGTTTTTTTTCCCAGGAGAACACGTTAAAACAAACAACATGCTACATTAGTTTAAAGACATCAGAGATGATACAGAGATTAATGATTGAAACTGTGCAGGTAAATTTTAAGAAAAAGAGAAAATAGTCACTTACTACCACGGCTCAGCTGCTTCGACTGCTTCCTAGCAGGTCACAAACTCATTTCTTCTTCTTCGTTTAGGTTAAAATGTAGGAACAGACTGGTTCATTACCGCCATCTCGCGTCTTCTTCTTTTTATTATCACTCGGTGCATTGCTGCCACAACTGTATGGATGTGGATCGGGAACTGAATTATGTTTTCACTCATTGTAACTAAATAAAGTATACAAAAAACATAGAACAAAACAAAATAAAACAATAAAAAAATATATTCTCTCTTGATTTTGAAACAAAGCTCTATAACTTGTATAACTTGTGTATTTTTGCACTATTTTGAATTAGAATTTAGAATTTATTACTGTAAATATTATTTATCTTATTTTACCTTATTTTATTTTATCTTATTTTATTTTATTTCATTTTATCTATTTTACCTTATTTTATTTTATCTTATTTTATCTATTTTACCTTATTTTATTTTATCTATTTTAAATTATTTTATTTTATCTTATTTTGGTTGTATTGCACCGCGGGACGGAGACAAACGCAATTTCGATTCCACTGTATGTCTGGCATATTTTGAAATTGACAATAAAGTTGACTTTGACTAACCATGGAATTTCTTCGTAAAATATTACATACAGCCAGTTTCATTGGCAGTCCTCTTTTCTCATCCTCATACCTGTTATACTGAATAATAAGGTTTTCTAATGTTTCCTCTCCCTCACAGCTTACCTGCTTTACCTTACACTGTGAGCCAAAAGCATTGTCTTGAACTAGTTTATACTTTTTAGTTTTTACTGATTGTTCTTCCTATTCTCCCTTTAGATATTTTAGAACCACCTTCCTGACCTTTTTTTTTTTTTTTTTTAAATTGTACCTGTAGTGGCTTGATCTTGCTTATCGAAACTTTGAGCCACTGAGGGGCTGATACCGCACTTCATTGACACGCTGTTTCCGTGTTTCGTGGCAATAATTCAATCAACTCCGTGCTGTCACACTCAAAACGGGTTTATCTGAATCGTTCATTTACAATACATATTCTGGATGTCTACATACACTTATTCCACTATAACATGAATGTAAAACAAAGCCAGGATAAATGTTCCATTCACGATACATTTCAACAGCGCGTCAATGAAGTGCGGTAGTCTATCAGCCCCTCAGTGGCTCAAACTCTTTGATAAGCAAGATCAAGCCACTACATCAAGTCAAACACTGAGTGCCTCTCACGGTGGGCTGCTCACCTGTCCGTGATTAACTCTTCCTCTACCTTCTAACCTTCCCAACCCCAAAGTGAATGTGCCCCCCTACTGTGACCCAGAGCACACATACATACTGAACACACAAATGGCTCTAACAGTACCTTTATTTTACCAGTTATTAACCCATCGAGATCAAGATCTCTTTCACAAGGTGACCTGGCCAAGAGGGCAGCAGCACGTCATCATAAACATTACATCTTCTCCACTGCATTTCCACCTTTCCCTCCCTCTTGTAGTCAACGGATGTTTTCATTTTCATTTTACTGTACAGTTCTTTTATGTCAGGTATGTTTTAGTTGCGCATATGTCAGCAGTTTAATGTCCCTTTATTCTCTTTGCTGTACCCATACTCAGTCCAGAGTCCAGACAAAACAGAATTGAATCACTACGCTGCCAGTAACTGAACAAGCTGCCACAAAGATTAGATGTGCTCAAAACCTAAACATTTTCAAATCTAGCTTAAAAACATTTCAATTTTCATGCACTTTGAATCAGCCTTAAAGCTTAAACCT